GCGTTCGGATTTACAACAGGCTGGGCCGGTTGCAGAGCGGGGGCTGCCTCGGGCTTCTACGACTGCATAGGCACCCCCGCTCCTCGCATGGGCATCGGTCACCTTCCAGAACATACTTGCACGTGACTTATTTCTCCATCTGCCCGTCTTTGACCCTGTCTGCAGGTCAACAGGACCTGGAACAACAGACGCGTCGGGCATTCATCCTTGGCTGGGGGTCTTCTTCAGAAAATCCGGCATGCATTCGCCCCCTTCCTTCCCCGTGCATTTCTGAGATTGATGCAAGCAACCGATCGTGCATTTCTACGTCTGTTCCAGCCGTGCAACTCCAAATGTTATAGAAGATGTTTGTTCATTGAATATTCGGAACAATCTTCATCAATTCGTAGAAATGCTCATGGATCGCCGCGGCCACCCCGGAGGGTTACCTGGAACCCCCGTAAATGTCGCAATAAAGAAACATCCACTCGTTGGAAAAGTGAGATCCCAACCTCGCAAGCTCCTATGGATGACGAGTTTGAACGAGTCCCGCGCCGCCATCTCCCTGCCATGTTCTGTGCGAACGGGAAACCATTGAAACATCAGACGCATCATCTCTCGCCCTGCACGCAGCCAGGACTCGGTGCACGCGTCGTACTCCAGTCGCGAAAATTGCGCAATCAGACGTGTCCGCCGCGGTGGGGGCGTCCATCCTTCTGCTTCGCATTGGAAAGCTCATCTGTCACGTCCGATGCAATCAGCAGATCCTCCCGCTCGCACTTCCCTGCGTGCCTCAGGAAATGCGGGTCTATATTGGGGGCCATCGTTTGAGCGGCCCAGGGAGATGTCCCACTTGCATCGGGGGGCGCCGCTGGCACTGCCCGCCTTACATGAGGCTTCCATTCTCGAAGCCCTGCGGTATCAGGGACGGGCGTCAACTTGAGTTCCGATGTCTTCCCCATCTGTTTACAAAATTCGAGAAGATATGTGACGGGCCCCCCATCGTCTTCACCATCGCCTCCTCCGTCTCCGCCGCCGCCAGCTGATCCGCCTCCCCCGCCGCCTTCGCCCCGTCCGAGTCGCGAGAGTTCAGCGCCGGATCAACCGGCTCACCCAGCGAGCCCGCTATCCTAGATGGTGACTCCCCCGACGGTTCGAGAAACAAAGGGAACGAAGGCGCGCCGCGGAACCGCTGCTCCAACTGTTCGGGAGAGCACCAATCACTACCATGCCATTCTGAAGTATTATCTGGTTCAACTCTCTTCTCGCCTCAGTTGCTTTCCCAAATTCATCGAGCGCCTGCCAAATAATCTCAAGGAGATCCTTCCGCCGCTGAATCAGACTAGCCACGCGCGCCCGTTCTTCCCACTGTCGGGAACACCAGCGTTCATCCTCCTGATGTTCCCGGGCAACATCCGCCTCGGCTTCCACCCTGCCGCGAACGCAGTCTGCGTCGTTTGGTCATGGAGCCACTGCGAGCGTCACCACGTGGAATGGAACATCGAACGCAATATCCTCTTCACGCTCTGGCAAAAACGGCACGCATGCACGCCCCCAGATGCTGCGGCGACGAGCAGACGCGGCCCGCGGCCCCCTCCCCGAGATCTGATACGTCGAGCTTCCCGGCGCCAAAGGCTGAGCCTCGAACGCCAGTCCAATAGACCTACCGCCCCCAGGAAGATGAGTTCGCGCCCGAGTCTCCAAAGCAGATGGGATCGCCACAAGATCACGCCGCACCGCGGATTGAATCCGCAGCGCAGATTAGATCATCCCACCACTTCGCCCCCTTGCATTTTAAACATCCCGGAGAATAATCAAAGCATCATATGCCTCTCTCAAATTGGCAGGGTTCTCGGCAAATGAGCCCATTTCTGCTTTCACGTTCATTGCGCGGTCAGCGGCGGCGCCCCCCCCGAAGGGTCGCTCGTTGCAAAATTGCAATCGCCTCTTCATTCGCATGGCGAACCAGAGCAACTGCTCGAGCCCTTTCTTGAATTGAGCTTTCTCCCGATCGACACCCTTCTTGCACGCGGCGTTCGCGTGTGATTCCTTAGCTACCATGCGCCCCGTTAGTCTGCTTCCTGCTTCCATCTTCTTCTGTTCCGCAAACTCCTGCAACTCCATCTCGCGCCCATCGGCGTCAAGCATCAATCAGAGACGGTCGAGCTGCTTCGGGCGCGGCCTGCCAGCCTAGATGGGCATGCTGCGCGGCCTGTAGAAGAGTCCCTGCCCGCCTATTCCCCCCTCAGAATTGTTCGCCCCCCCGCGCGTGGACAGGCGAACGCGCGCAGCGTGCTCTTCGAGAAGTCTCGTTTTAATGGCCGCCATTTTCGCTGCCCCTCGTCGCTGCCATCCCACAAAAAAAAACACTACAACACCGCTTGTCCATGTCGCTGCATTCCGAGCAAGGCCAACTGAGATTGCAGCGTTGGCCGGCGCGCGAAGGAACAACCGGCGCGCGCCAGTCGAAAGCGCGGATCCGGGGCGTCGTTCGCTTTCCTCGGACGCGCATTTTCCGCCGACGGGTAACGCCGCGGCCCTCGGGCCCAACAACTATGTTCCATCGAAAATCTCCCGGGGAATAATCCACGCGCGATCCCTGGGCGCTCTTTGACCTCGCGCGCAACATTGCTGCCGGGGGCGATCGACATGCAGATCTTCTGATAGCACTACGCGGAGACACCTTGGGAATTTGACTCGGCACTGGGATTTCTCGCGCGGCCGGGCAGTGCTGATCGCCGAGCAAACCATCTGCCACACTGGAACCATGCGGCGGAGAATCACGCCCCATGACCACATCCTCAGGTCATTTGGGAACCCTTGCCTCGGGCGTCTCTCCCGCGCTGTCTTCTGCGCTACCCTATTGAAATACAGTCGAAGTGCTCTTATCCATGACGGGCGAACTCTCACATGTCAAGTCAGCGTCTTCAATGCTCGTTTCGAGTCTATGATCACACTTACTTTCCACTTCCATCACTTGGACCAGCGCCAAACCACTGTCCTCCATCGGCACAGAGGCGGCGTCAGTTAACGCACTAAAGGGAGCCACTGGAGAGAGACGACCTACAGCATCATTTGCGGGATACTCGGCTGATCTCGCGCGGTCTCCCACGGATAGAGCGCGTAGATACAGCTCTCTGTTGTTATTTGCATGTCACACACAACTAATATATTTCGCCTGAAAACCGATCATTCGCAGGAGGAATACGGTTTCCAGCAAAAGTGGAACAGGATGGTGACGTCAACGCACTGGTATCATCGCCCATGGTGGGCATACCAAACATGTTTCCTGTGATCCGCTAAGTATGAGTAACTCCTTACAGGGGAACAAAAGAGAGGAGGAAGGACGGCGACGACGGCTCGCAGCCTTTTACCCTCGAGCTCGGCGGGCCCGCGGTGCCCGCGAGAGGCGCTCCTCCACAACACCTACAGCCTAGATGGATGCGGGCGGCGGCGGCAGGGAGCGAACAGGGAGAGAAGAGTAACGACTAAGAGTACACTACGAGGGATTCATCGCACCAGCTGTCATGATTCTCTACATGCGCTTGCGTTCGTTCGCGCGTGTGTGCCTGCACGCGCCGCGTACCTTGTGCGTCGCCGTTTCACCTACCACTGGCGTCGTCGGACGACTTGGCGTGCCTGGTCTCACGCGAAGAACCATTTTTGCCCAATGCGCAGCGCAGCCGATCGCTGAAAGTCGCACAGAAACCAAACCGTTCAGAGCCTGTCTGCGAGCTGCGAAGTTACAGGGCGAGGTGAGCCGCCCACAATCATGGGCGAAAGCTCGCCGCATGGCCGCTGTCCATCATGTCTTCGCTTGCCAGGATTGTTCCTACACGCGCGCGTCCCTCGGCAGCTGGCAAACCATGCCTTCACCGCGCATGGTGTCCAGCGCCGCACAGGTGAGCGAATCGACGTGGTGCATTGCCCCGTGTGTATGCGGTGTTTTCACACCCTCGCGAGTCAGAACTCATCTTGAAGAACATTATGAGAAGTGTCACGCTGTCGTCATGCAGTGCATACCACGACTGCCAGATACCGTCATACGGGAGCATGAAAAGCGGGACGCGGGGGCCGCCAGAGGCCTTGAAAGAAAGAGCCAGACACTGTAACTCTGCCAGATACTGGACCATGCAGACGCCCGTGCCTATCGGATGATTGGGCCTCTGACCAGGGAGGCTTACAAAGCTGGTTTGACCCACAAGTCCCCCCTCCACTTCTCTTCCTCCTTCCAATGAAGCTGGGTCGAGGCGACTCCAGAGACGTGACACCCTGATTCGTGTACTGCCCTACATGTTTCACCAGATTGCCTCCACAAACGGGCACGCTCCAAGCCGCTACGGAACAGAATGGGACGGACCTGCACGCCGTCTGAAGGAGCCCTGTCTGGGCAAGCCCTGTACAACCCTAAATCTCTTTAGATACAAAGTCGCATGAAGGCAACGCTTCATATTCACCGAAACCCATCCCAAGTGCTAGGATTGGCTGAGACGTGAGCGCCGATGTTTCTCGGCATGACTTCTTTTGCGTCAAGATGGAGCGGGTAAAGATGCAGTGGGCCCGCGGCTTCCACTGCTGCAGCTTCAGTTCGCGCCTGTCGGACTCACCGTAGGTGCCCGCCCAGCCAAGATTGGAGTTGTAGGATTGGAGAGGACGCTTGTCAGCACACCGCCACGTGACTGGGACTGCAGACCCGTCGAATCGTCCTCCAGCTCTTCCCCTTCTCTCTGGCGCCCACGGGCATAAACGGAACTGCAGCTGTGGATAGCAGGACTGGCGCATCACACAAGCACCAACTATACAGACGGTCCGACCCGATCCCCGCGACATTGAGCGCCGGATGCTCTGACGTGGACTACTCCCATCTCCTCTCGCTCCCCCAGCTGCTCCTCTCCTCCTTCCGTCTCCCTCCTTCCCGTCATCCTTCTACTTCTAATCCTCCTCCTCCTTCTCCCCCTCCCCTCATCCATTCCTCAACCGCATCATCCTCGTCGTCCTCCACGCAGGGTTGGTCATGTCGCCTTCGCGCAGCGTCGCGTCCCACTCGGCGAAGCGCGCGTCATGTTCTCGCGAGCGAGCGCCTGGTGCTAAGCACCGCAAAAGGGAAAAAACCCAGCACAATGAGAAAGGAAAGAAGGTGCCACGGGAGGAGGAAAATAACAAAGTCAAGAAAGAGATACAAAAAAACAGAAGGAGAAGCAGCAGGGGGAAGCAGGAAGAGGAGGGAGAAGATAAAGAGAGGGGGAAAAGGATGAGGACGACGACCGTGGCTATAGGACCTACTCACGACTGGTTCTGGCACCCTAGCGAGTGCGACCACCCTGTCGATCAACTCGACTGAACCTGTGCGACGAGCAACTACCAACCAGGTCGCGCGCAAACGCAAAGCACAAAATATCGCTTGACGAAAACCACCCCGCACGCGCGATTGATCGCTCCAGGACTGCACACCTCCAAGCCAAATAATCACTGACCAAACGTCGAGAAAGGGGTGCAGGGCTCTGCAGATATCCCACGATATCCATATGTCGCAAGCAACGTAGTGTCACATGGGCATCGGGCATGAAACAGTGGAGCGGCACCCCGAGCACAACACCACACTGATCTGGCAATTCCGCAGACAACTCGAGCGTTGACACCCACGCCGAAAAGTTAGAATCCTTCCAGCCCTCTGGGCGCGAGTGGTCTAGGGAGCGCGTTCTGCTGGCCCCCTCTTTCCCCTTCGGGGAGGAAACTCCCCATGGGTCTGGACCACCCCGCCTGGGAAGTGTCGGAGGGTCCTTCTTGGCCCCCGGTGGCTCCAAGAGGGCCCCAGAGGGCTCGTGATGGCGTCTAAGATCGCTCAAGAGATCCGAAGATGGTCCAGGATACCCCTGATTTCGTAATAAAGGGAGGGGGGTCTCATTTCGGGGGGGGTCTCTTCCAGGCTATCTTGGAGGGCCTGGGGGGTCTGGGGACGATGTTTTGGAGGGTTCTCCCACGGGGGAGGTCTGAAATGGCTTGTCTTGGAGGGTCCAGACCCCCTCCCTTTTATTACGAAATCTGGAGTAGCCTCCGACGCGTTTCTGAGAGCCCTCGCGATCGACCGGGGTTCAACATGTGTTGCTTTCTCGCCTGTTCTCTTCGGAGGGGCCCTAGAGGCCTCAAGATAGCTCCAAGATGGCCCACGATGGCCCCAGCAGGGGCCCAAGACGGCCTCAAAAGCGCCCAAGACCGCCCCAAGAGCGGCCCAAGAGGGCCCTAGAGATGATTATTTGGGCCCCGACGGAAGACCGAAATCGGCGACCCCCGCACTCTTTGGATCGATGGCCCCAAGAGGACCTCCAAAGCTTCACGAGGGCCCCAAGAAAGCCCCCAGAGCGTCCCAAGAGGGCCCCAAAAGAGCCCTTGGACCAAGAGGCTTCCAAAATGGCCCCACGAGGACCCCGCGATGGCCCCAAGAGGCGTCCAAGACGCTCCCAGAGCGAAAGATCGCAGAGGTCTTCAATTTGACTCCTGTCGTCGTCGTCGTCGGCGTCGTCGTCGCCGTCGTCGTCGTCGTAGCCGTCGTCATCGTCGTCGTAGTCGTCGTCCCGCGCTTCCCAGCTGCCTTGGTTGAGTGGTTGCCGCTCCTCCCTGTTTGCTAGATGACCAACGCGCGAGTCGTCGGTGTTCGCGCGCCTAAAAGAACGGACGCACGGCGAGCAACGAAAGGCATGCCAAGGCAGTCCTCGACACGAGCGACGTAATGCAGGCACCGCAGGCAACGACAAGCAACCACTCAACCAGGACGCTGCACATATCTGATTAGGGCAACTCGGCTGGTGCGAACACAAGTGGCTGAGCATTGCGTATGTCCTGTTCGCTTGCGGAAACGTGCTGGTAAGAACGCCGAACACACACACACACACACACTCACACACACACACATCCCTCCAAGAACTATGGCGTGAGAAATACCGGCCTTCAGATTCAATCTACACGAAATATTGGGTAAACGAACTCTGAAGGCCGGTGCAAGCCTCAGAGAGTGGGATGGGAAAGATCATGATGAGGACGAGGAAGATGAAGGGCAACGTCAGGGATGACCAGGTCAGGAGGAAAACATCGTCGCCGATAGATCGTCGGCAGGTACCCCGATAGCGAATACTGATTTTCGTGGGCGGGATGGGCTATCGGGCCCCTTCTCGGCGATGCATGGGCGATTGGGGGTCGACGCGTGCATCTCCACATAACGTCGCCCCTAACAGGACGACGGGGGCAAGGGGCGGGGGTGGGAAGACCTGGACACGGCGCAGTGGGAGCCACTGAAGGGCGCGGGCGCCTTCGCCGTCCCTCCCGTCCCACCACATGGCGCGCAGAAGCGCGCGCCGCGGGGGCGGCGTCCCGGAGGAGCTCTATACGCGGCGCCCCCAGCCTTGGTGGGGGCCCGCGGCTCGAGGCGACCACACGCGGATAAAGTATCGGCAATGCACGGGGGGGAGGCGATCGGGGGTGAGGAAGGTAAGAAGGAGTGATAAATAAAAGCGAGAGAAAAAGAGGGCGAGAAAGAGAGAGAAGAGAAATAGAGAGAGAGGGAGAGAGAAAGAGAAAGAGAGAGAGAGAGTGAGAAATGGAGAGAGAAAAAGAGAGAGAGAGAAACAAAAAAAAAGAAAGAGAGAGAGAGAGACAAACACTGAGACTGAAACAAAAATATCATCCACCGTGGCCCTTGGATCATTGAAGCGTGGCAGAAACACAAGTGCTGTACCTCCTCCCCCCCCCTCCTCCTCCACCTCCTCATCCTCCTTTTCCTCCCCCTCCTCCTGTTCCTCCTCCTCCTCCTCCTCCTCCTCCTCTCCTCCTCCTCCTCCTCCTCCTCCTCCTCCTCCTCCTCCTCCTCCTCCTCCTCCTCCTCCTCCTCCCATCCTCCCTTGCTCCTCCTCCTCCTCCTCCTCCTCCTCCTCCCCTTGTCCCTCCTCCCCCTCCTCAGTCTGAAATGACTATGGTAAGTCAAATAACATCCGATCCCATGGGAAGCGGATAGCAAATAGCGTCCGGCATCGTACTGAGGTTGTTCAGTAAGAGGAATGGACGGATAAGATCGGGTAAGATCGATGCAGTGATCTTCCCAGCACATAGCGAACACTCGCAGTGTCCAGGCAAATAGGGCGCGCGCGCCTTGAGCCAAAGGCAACGGCGCGCAAGCTATACTCCCGATTCTATATAACATCTCCAAAAGAGCTACCCTTAAAGTCGGGAGGGGAGGAGACGGAGAGTATAGCCGCGCAGCCGTTAGGCTCTACAAAGGCCGCGCGCACGACTGCTTGCAAGAAAAACAGTGCGTACAGTCTGGCCTAACACCAGACTGTAAGGCGAGTTTCCTCGCATAGCATTTCACGCAAGTACGAGATAGCCCCTTGGACGTCAAAGGGCTATCGGCCCGGCCAGAGGTAAGCCAAACGGGCTGTCCCTCTCCGAGCAAGCGGATATCAAGGCAAAGAGCCTGAACCAAACCGAACAGGCTCGTTACCAAGCGTGACATGGTAGGCTCGTTTCCGAGCACCTAGAAGGGCGCCTCTGTATTAAGCGCCCACGCTGGCAAACTGGACCGCGGGGGCAACAAGGACAGACTAAAATTGATTAGACTTAGGCTTGTTTCTGTCCTCGGGACCCCGAAAGGGAACAAACTGCTTCACGTCATACTTAAATGACTGATTGCCTGACATCACTTCCAAAAGCAGCCCCCGATCGATGCTCCCCTTTGTGTGCCCATCTGCGGTCATATCTCTAGTATCGCACCACTGCACATTATGCACTATACCTATATCCATGAGCTCACGTATCCAGCTGATATGTCCCAGCAAAGTCCGTTCCGTCGGTATCTTAAGATCTTTGCTGGATAACGATTCGTATACAGACTCAGCGTCGATGGTAAGGGGTACTTTAATAGCTAGACCTCCAACTTCACGCATATATCGTAGCTGTCGTGGAGTCAGAGCCCCTGCCTTGAGCTCGTGGAGAGTGATGAGCGTAGGGTAGCACTCATCAAGGTTGTGTGCAGCTGCAAGTGCCTCAGCGTCATAGCTGGACCTCACCTGCAGTCGATGTGATTTACATAGTCCGTCACAGAGGTGAACGACGGGTTTGCCTTGAGGCGAGTTTCCTCGCCGTAGTACGTTGGCCCCGCGTATGCCGTAGCCCTTGGTCTCATCGTCCTCCTCCCCGGTGAGCTTCCGATGCCCCGAATCACTGTGTATGTCAACTTCATTCATCGGTTTCATCCGAGGGAAGGTGATGCGTTTCGGGCTGCTGATCAGCTTTCGCGTCACAGCATTCAGTCGTCTGACTTGTAGGTTGGTGGGCTCTTGGATTTCTGAAGAGAGACCACATGCACCATAAGCCAGACTTGAGTAAGAAGGGCATAGGCGAGGGCTCCTCGCAGGCTGACAAACATGTCGGCGATGAGTTTGGTGGCTTCGGCATCGGCCGCCGCTCCTGTGAGTTCAGGGTGTGTGATAGGACGTAGTTGTTTACTGTACTCGTCCTGGTCCATGATCACATCCCCTTGGTCATTCTTGGTGTAGCGAACGGCGCAGTTCGTATAGGAATGTGTGTTAAGCTTGCATTTACCAAACACCTTTTCGACGCGTTGTACATAGTCGTCTATATTTTCTCTAGGCCTGTCATATTAATGTCGTCAACATGTTCTGCTGTCAACAGATCTTGGCTGAATTCAAATTCAGGATCATAACTTGTCGGTGTTAGGCCTATAGCTCGCGTGGTCGTACGAAGCTTGAGGGAAAACGCTCTTGGGGCGTCCTTTGTACCCGTCCCTGGCTCGAGGCACCTGAGGCAGCGTCGGCTTTCATCATAGGACGAACAGCCGGGCAGTGTACGAAGTACCTGGGCGCTTCCCGGTGGAAGAGTGTAGCAAACCATGCGAGTTTCCTCGCCGGTGGCATGAGCAAGTTCCTCATAGGCCAAGCCCTTGAGGAACGCTTTGTCGATATCCATGGATGCTAAGATCCAATCTGGATGACATGCCGCCTCACTTGCCAGGAGCCCCTGGGACTGCCTTCGAGCAGTTCCCGAGAAGGTTTCCACATCGAACGCCTCAGTGTCCATAAATCCACGAAGGTCAAGACTGAGACGGATGGTTTTAACGTTCTCGGTAACTACCTTTACAAACTTCCACTTATATACATATCTGGATGTCATGATGTTGGAAGCTTTAGATAGGTCATGCATCTCAAAGCACCGGTTATCAAGCCAGATCTTGAGTTCGGTGTATAAAGCTTCACTAACCTCTTTAGGGTGTGCTGATATGTCGGCTTTGGTGAGTAGGTCGTCTTCCTTAACTACCACAGCACGTTTAGCAGCCGAGGATACGTATACTCTCATCGTTGCGACCATACCAGTGTCGAGCTGTGCAAGTTGAGTCTGATCCAACACTACCTTTGACATGTCTGGCGTGAAACATAACTCAACACAAGGACCATGTTCATCACTGTCAAGAGAACAACCCTCGTCAGGTGTAGTTGAACATAGAGAGACAAGACAAGGCTCTTGTGGTTCAGGCTCGTCTCCGAGCGTTTCCGACACTACGATATCTTCTTCGTCCACGGATGCTGAAACCAGAACACATTGGTCGGGCAGCATGGTTGTTGGGACGCAGTAAAGATGATCGTCGGTGATAGTTGTGGGATGAAGGTCCATACGTAGCTCATCGTACCACTCCTCCAGCATCATAGTTTCTATCTCATGCTCCTCATTTTCTTCGTAGATGGTAGACAGACGGCCTTCACTTGGTGATGAAGCACCTGGGGTGTCTGGTGGAGGCCTGTTTCCAGGCGGGTCGTGTTCTCCAGACGTGGTGCCCGAGTGCTGATACTTGGCCAGGTCGTCATGAAATCCTAAGGAAGGAACATGTGATGTCAAGCATTGGATGAGTCTTGAGTGAGTGCTACCAGTGATTTGAGAAATGTTTAGGCCAGTGCCCGCACACTCATAATAGTGGAAGGCTGGGTTGACGTCGTTGTCGTAGTGGATCAGCGTAGACCCGGTGGCGTACTTTACTGCAGGTAGATAGGACACACTCTTTGCCAATCTAACTGCTACTACGTGTTCAACTCGGAAATAGTTTCGCACGAGATATTGTAGTGCAAGATGTACGCGCGGGTGAAACCTGCTGTCGTCTGAAAGATTGAGGTTTCCCTTGTAGTCTGGAATGTAGCCGAAAACTTTGGCAGGTTTCCCTGCACCAAGGTGTGCCACATATGTAAAGACGGTCTGCATGGCCATGTTGTCCATGCCAAGTTCCCGTGTAAGGAGGCATTCAATGTATAGCGTGCGACGAGCATCAGGATGCATTACATTACCTCACGAGATCCTGCCTTGACAACGATGTGTCCTCTTTCAGGCACGTTACGGATCACCGGAAATGGGCCATTCCAGCCTCCATGATCGTCCTTAGTGGCAGTAGGTCGATGGTAGTCGACCAGATCCCCTGCCGAGTAAAGGCGAGCACCATCTGGAGCCGTTTTAGCCCTGAGAGCACGATTTGTCTTGGCCACAGCCGTGCCGTGAGTTCTTGCTTCTAGGCTAACTTCCCTCACGCGACGTTCTCGTTCATGACCTGACGTCTCGGGTCCCTTAGGGAAGTCAAGGGTGTCGAGGTCAGGCAGACGTCCAGTGTGTGCTTGGTATGGCGATACTCCGTTGTAAAACGTGAAGGCGTTGGTGACGAAGATGCCTTCAGCCAATACTCTAGTGAATACAACAGGGATGTTGTGTCTGTTCAGCTCTTCCTCAATCATGTGGAGAACTCCCCTGATAATACCGTTTCGTGACTCGAGCGAAGTCGCGCGTTGGCCAGGCGCTCGGATACGGAGTGTTGCACCCTTGTTCGCCATCATGGCCTTGGCAGTGTCATTGTTCAGGGCGCCTTCTCCATCTGACTACAAGACTTTGAAGGGTCCATGATAGGCAATCCAGCAGTAGTGGTAGGCGTCGAGTATAGTGTCACGTTCTCTGTCGGATATCTCTTGGCCTGCTGCCAGGCGGATGCAAAATATGGTCCGTTTCTGGTAAAACATGAGATCCATTTCACCTTCATCGAGCCAATTTCCAGGAAGGCTTACCGAAGGTAGTGTTGAATTTCCTGGACGTTCCCATGCTCTACATTCCCGACAGGTGTCACAAACTTCTTTGATCATATTTAGTCGAACGCTGTCCAGTCCCACTTTGTCTAGGATTAGCCTCATCTTGGGTTCCTTCGCATGGTGCCACCGTAGGTGCAGTTTACGGAGTTCCTCTTTAACGACATGAAGTTCGCGACTACGGAGATTTTGCAGACTGTGTTGGATATCAA